CCCCCCCCCCCCGCCCATTTTCTCTCTCTCTCTCTCTCTCTCTGTCCCTCTCTCAAGTTTATTTATGTTGAGAGAGAGAAAGAGAAAGAGAGAGAGTGCGTGCAGGGCAGATAGGGAGAAAGGGAGAATCCCAAGCAGACTCCGCACCATCAGCACAGAGCCCTAAGCGGGGCTCGAACTCACAAACTGTGAGATCATGACCTGAGCTGAAATCAAGGCGCTTACCTGACTCAGCCACCCGGGTGCCCCTGTGTCTCTCTCTGCCCTCCACCTTGGTTTCCAGAACAGGAAATGTCAGGGTCCCAAGGGTGTGGCCCAGGTGAGGGGGGAGGAGGAACCAACAGAGGTAGGACCTCCCCCCACCTCCTACCCTCTGGATGAGAACGGGGTGGGGGCAGGAGGGGGTCTGCCTCAATTGACCTCTGAACCCTGCCATGCCAGGTCTTGATGAGGGCGGGGAGCCCTGGTATTAGCTCTTTTGTCACACGCTTCTCCCAGGGCCAATGCCTGGGCCCTCGGCCGGCCCCGGGGAAACTGAGGCAGGAGGCTTGGGAAACTGAAGCGGGGCTGGGCGCCGGGACTCCTGGGTCCCGGCGGAGGAGAAGACCCGGACTCCTGGGTCTGAAGGGGCAGGGGACTGGGGCCCCGGACTCCTAAGTCTGAGGGCGGAGGGCCTGGGACCGAGGGAGGGCCTTCCCCCAACACACCCGTCTCTTAAATGCCCGCCGAGCGCCCCGCCCCTCCCGCCCCCAGTTAACCCCGAGCCCCGCGGCCGAGCCCGGCACAGTCGCCCGGAGCCCACAGACCGAGCAGGTGCACGACCCACACGCGCTCGGCAGCGGGATGGACACCGACCAGCCCGAGAGCCCTCGGGAGCCGCCGTCCCCGCCCCCGCCGCCGTCGCCGCCGTCCCCCGCGCCCCCCGAGTCCCCCGGGTCCCCCCGGCCCGAGCAGCCGTCGGAGGCCTACGCCCGGCAGCTGCTGCTGGAGGAGTGGGGGCCGCCCGGCGGGAGCCTGGAGCTGCCCCCCCGCCTCACCTGGAAGCTGCTGTTCCTGCGGCGGCCGCTCTACCGCAACCTGCTGCGCTCGCCCAACCCCGAAGGTGCGGGACCCGCAGGGCACCCGGCCCCGAGGCCCCGCCTCTCCCGCCGCGCGCGGCACCCTCGCAGCCCTCCGTCTCTCCTTCTCTGCCCTTCTCGCTTTCTCTGCATCCTTCCCCGGCTCTCCCGTCATTGTGCCCCTCTCCGTCTCCTGGCGCCTCTCTCCGTCCCGCCTTGCACGGCCCTCTGTCTCTGTCTGTATCATTTGCCCCCTTGTGTCTCCTTGTCTTACCCCGTATCTCTACCTCTCTCTCCCTGCCTCCCTCCGCCTGTATTTCTGTCTCTTTCTCTACGTGCCTCTCTCTCTCGGTCCCTCTGTCTGTCACACCAGGACGCCCTCCTCCTTCCACCCTCCCTCTTCACCGCACCGTCGCTTTTCCCCCCCGGACATTCTCAGGGCTCTGGCAAGGCTCTGACTCACACGTCGCTGCCAGGCAGGTCCGGTCTGGCACAGATTCCTGCCCTTCCAGCGGAGCCCTCGGGGGGGGGGGGGGGGGGGAGCGCTGGAGGCAATTTCAGCCTGCCTGAGGCTCCACTCACCTTGTGCATTTCAGGCATCAACATTTATGAGCCGGCACCCCCTACGGGTCCCACCCAGCAGCCCCTGGAGACTCTGGGTGAGTGCTGGTGGCGGCGCCCGAGGGGAGGGGACAGTCCTGGAGAATGTGCTTGTTCTAACGCTTTGCTCCTCCACCTGCCAGGCAACTTCCACGGCTGGTACATTAGGACCGAGAAGCTCCAGCAGAACCTCAGGTGAGCGGCCGGGATGCGTGTGGCCTGCGTTTGGTTCCCTGCCCCAGGGTCTGGCTGCGGGCCCTAGAGACACTGACTTTGCCCCTCTGGGCCTCAGTCTCCTGCTCGGTGCACAGGCTTTGGCATAAAAGAATGCTCGCAAAACACAAGGGAGGGTCTGGCTGGCTAGGTCCCACCCGCAGGTAGTAGATGTTCAATAAATAACAGGTCTTAGTGTTGTTTTCTCCACTTCCCCCCCCCCCCCCCCGGGAGAGGGAGTCACCAGGCCACTATTGATTCTCCATCAAACCGAGCCTCATTTCTGCACATTAGGGGAGACGGTGTAACTCAGGGGCTCAGTCACACGCGCCTGGGTTGGGATCCCTAAGGCCAGTGACTTCCCTTTTTGAGCCTCAGTTTCTCATCTGCATCATGGGGTTCCGAAGGAGTGGCCCTCAGAGGGGAATAGAGGAACCTTCAAGGTGCTGACTGAGTGCTCGGCGCCCCTATGTGGGTGCCCTTGATGTCTCTGCGAGGGCGCTAGGACCCCAGCACGTCCCAGGCCTCACCGCCCCCCCCCCACTGCCCTGTCCCGCAGCTGGACCGTGAAGCAGCAGTGTGTGGATCTTATGGCCGAGGGCCTCTGGGAGGAGCTCCTCGACGATGAGCAGCCAGACATCACAGTCATGGACTGGTACGTGCCCCTGCCCGGCCAGTCTGTCCCCGCCAGCTCATGGGATGGGCTCCTGGATGTGGAAACCTCACCTTTCCTCCCCTTTGATCTGAGCTCATCACCAAGACCTGCTCACCTGCTGCAGGACCCAGCCCCGCCCACTGCACTAGCCCCTTCGCCCTGAGACTCCCAGCTTTTGAGATGGGCCAGGCCGGAGGCCGGTCCTTCTTTCTGAGATGCTCGGCACCCCCTGTTCTCGAGATAAAGTCCTTCTTATCCTTTGGGGTTCCGTCGCGCGTGGTTACACAAGAATCCTTTCCTGACTACCCTCAAGCTGGGGCAGACGCATTATGCATTATGTGCCCCCAGACCTCCCCCCTCCCAGCCCCCACCATTCTTGGTTTCACTGGTGACAGGTCTGCCTCCACCATCAGACTGTGACTCCCGCAAGGGCGGGGTGGGGGCCATCTTGCTGTGTGGCCAGCACTGCCCGGCCCCGGGGTGCACAGAGTGGGTGCCAGTGAGCGTGTGCTGAATGGCCATCAGGGCCAGGGGTTGGGGCCGGGACGTCGGGGCCGCAGTGGCAGCTGAAGGCCTGGACCCCACCCCCAGGTACGAGGACAGCCGGCTGGACACGTGTGTCTACGAGCTGCACGTCTGGCTGCTGGCAGCCGACCGCCGCACGGTCATCGCGCAGCACCATGTGGCCCCCCGGGCCTCCGGGAGAGGCCGCCCCGGCTGCTGGATCCAGGTGAGGCTCTGTCCCCGGCTGCCATCCCCAGACACGTGTTCCTGTCACCTCAGAGAGGGCAGAGGGCAGGGTAGGGTAGGGATCGCAGGTCCCTAACGAGGACTTCTCCCCTAACCCTGGGTGCTGCCACAGGTGTCCCACGTGTTCCGCCAGTATGGCCCTGGCGTGCGCTTCGTCCACTTCCTGCACAAGACCAAGAACCGGATGGAGCCTGGGGGGCTGCGGCGGACGAGGGTGACGGACTCCTCCGTGTCCGTGCAGTTCAGGGAGTGACTGGCAGAGTCCGGGCCTGTTCTGACCCCCGGTGTCACTTGTCCACAGCCTTGACACTTTACCCGATCCCTTGGCACCTCCCTGACCCTTGGACTCTGTGGCCTTCTCTTCACTCCTCCCTGGTGCTCACCACCACCTGTTCCCTTAATCCCTTCATGACCCCTCAGCTTCTCCTTGATCGCTGACCACCTCCTGGGCCCCTTATTCCTGCCTGGCCCTCGGCCCCCCGCTTGGCATCTTCCCACACCCTTGGACGTCTGACTCGTCGGCATTGCTGCCGTACTCTCTGAGCTCCGTGAGGGCAGCGGCCACTTCCTCCTGAGCTAGTTGCTCGACAGACAGTAGGGGCTTCGTGCATCCTTGTGGATCGATGAATAAATGCTTGTGCGCGGGGATGCGGAGTCTTTTCCCTGGCGTTTGCTTCTTCACAATGTCACTGAGTTCACACCGTGATTTTCCAGCACCCCACAACCCCTGTGCCCTTGGCACCTCCCTTGACCGCTGATCTCGCCACATGTCCCCAGTTTACAGCCTCTTGGAGCCCCCACCCGCCTCTTCTCTGGCATCTCTTAGTCTCAGACTGTTCCCCTTGTCAGCACACCCCCAAGTTCTCAACCCCTAGAGCCGTCCCCGTATCTTTTCCCACAAGACCCTCATTTCTCCGCCTCAGTCCTCCAGAGCCCCCGAACCCAGCAAGGTATGGTATCTATCCGGGGCCATCGTTCTGGGGACAGTGGCGGGACAGACTGCAAATCTGAACTAAAATTTTTTCCACGTGTTGGAGAAAAAGAGATTGAAAGTCTTTAACCACCCCTAAGCCCGGGGCTCTGGCCAGATCACGCAGGAGACCCCGGTCTTAGCCTGGGCAGGGTCCTTGGAGGCCTCCAGCTGTTCCATGCGTGAATCCTGAGGGAATCTGGAGGTCCCTGGCAGGCCAGAACAGCTGGGGGCGGGGTGGGGTGGGGGGGACATTCAGGGGAGGGCTATCTACCAAAAAGTGTGGGAAGCATTTGAACGTTTAACAGTCAGCCAACGGTACATGTCACACGCGTGTCCTGTGGCTGTGTGCCTTTGTGCACACCTAAATCCATGGCAGAATCTATGAGTATGTCCCCACCTACAGCATTGTCCCAAGTATAGGCTGATGCAGGCCTCACCACCCTGCTCTCTCCCCCGACCCCCCCCCCCCCGCCCCGCCCCGCCCGCCCTTTCCAGTGTGGACTTGGGCCCCAAGCACGAGTAGATGGCAGACAGGGTAACTTCACAAGCACACTCTATATTGCAGGGAAGACAGGGTGGGGAGGGGGCAGGAAGAAAGTTCTCTCCTCCTGGGACTTGGGGGCCTTCAGCATACCCCAGGTGAGGGGCCTCTGCACTCTGTGGGGGTTGGACACGAGGTACCTCTAAGGCATCAGTAACACCTGCAACAGAGTCAAAAATTGTCACCAGCGGGGGATGCCAGGGGCTTAGAGATCCAGGGTGTGGGGGCTTCCGAAAGCCTGAGATGGGGTGGAGGGCTGGGCTCTGAGTTCAGGACCTAGGTGTCCTGGGAGCTCTTGGCGCTCTTGTAGGGGGAGGGACCCAACAGGTGGAGAGAGCTCTGACTCGGTGTAGGGCCCCAGGGTCTGTGAGCTTGCATGCGAGAGGGCAGAGTGGGCTCTGGGGCCTCCAAAGTTGGGTCTGGAGGACTCCAGAACCCTAGCAGGGCCTCCTGGGACTGGTTTCCAGGGCGGAGGCCCATCTAGAGGGTCTAGGTGGATGGGGGGAGCATGAGGGTAGCTGGGGGCTTCCTGGAACTGGGTTTGGGGTCTTGCAGTGGGTCAGTTTAGAGTCTGGGAGTCCCAGAGTTGGGTCTGGGAGCTCCAGGACCCAATGATCTGGGGGTGGGACGACTGGCTTCGGTTCTGGGGGCTCCAGGGTGAGAGGATTGGTGGCTCCCCATCCCCAAGCCAGGCCTAGGACTGCCAGGCTCTGGACGGATCCGCAGGTGGAGGATTCAGGAAGGTGGGAGGCGGGCTGGAGGGTGGGGTCAGCTTCTGAGTCCGGGAATCCCAGAGCTGGGTCCGAAGGGCATGGCCTTGCTGGGGGGAGGGTGCGGGGAGGGGAAGGGGGCCCTCCGGGATTGGTTCTAGGGAGTCCCCACGTGGGTCGGGGGCGCCGGGGGGGGGGGGGCGCGGTGCGCGCTTTGGACGAGGAGGCGGGGCCGGGGCGCGGGCGGGCACCTGCAATAGAGCGACGCGATGGTGTTGGACCAGTCTCCGAAGATGCCCTTGCGGAACTCTTCCAGGCGCGGGTAGGCGCCGGCCGAGAACTTGCGCGTCTTGCCGGCCTTGCCGCGCAGGGACCACACGGTGATCTCGCAGCGCGGGGCCACCACGAGCGAGGAGGCGGCGTTGTTCCAGTCGGCGGGCAGGAAGGGCAGGTCGGTGCCCGGCTCCACCGACAGCTCGGCGCCCCCGCAGCAGTTCTCGTAGTAGGGGTCGCTCTTGTCGTAGAGCTTGGCGCACGTGCGCGTCCCGTCCGGCCTCTTGAGGTCGGCGGGCAGCGGGCAGGCGGCTCGGATGCCGGGGACGGCCACCAGGGCCAGGGCCAGCAGCAGGGCGCACAGCGGGGACATGGCGACACTTCGGGCCGCGTCCTCGAGCTTTTATGCGCCTGACCCGTGGGAAGGGAGAAGCTGCGAGATAAGGACGCCCTCCCTCGCCTCCCCCGCGGGGAGGCCTTCCTAACCGAGGCCGGAAACCCACAGCCGCTGAACACGAGATGGGCAGATTTGTATACAACCTAGTAACTTTCACGTGGCAAACGTTATTTTTAAAAAGTCGATTAACGGGACTTGAGGACGAGTCTCTTGTAACAGGAGGGCAGCATAGCCTTATAGGTATAGGTACGAAGAGCTCTAGAAAACCGACAGGGATTGGAAACCACCACCACCACCACCACCCCCCCCCCCGCCCACTTCCAAATAAAGAGAGATGAACGGAGGGCGGGGTGGGGGTGGGGGGCTGGGTTTTCAGGCTGGGCAAGTCCCCTTATCAGGACACAGGACCTTGGGAAAGGAAAAGCTGGAGGTAAGGAGAGAGAGGCCCTGGAGGGAAGGGAGAGGAGGGGAGGAGAGGAGGAGAAAGATCCCACTCCCCCCAGAACAGGAGAGATTCCCAACCAAGGTTGGAAACCCAGAATCTGTGAATTAGACATATCAGGACAACGCTTGGTTTTTACCACCTCAAGGCAACGTATAAAAAGGTTTGGGGGTGGGGGTGGGGGGTGGGAGATCGCAACGCGTGGGCCAGTGTATCAATGATAGCTATAATATATAAAGAGTGCTTACAAATGGACAAGAAGATATCAAACAACCCCCCTCCCCAAGAAAGGCAAAGCCTTGGAAGGGGAGAAGGGAGGAACAGGAGGCTGCCACAACCTCCTCCCCATTTCCCAGGAGCCAGAAGATTTGCTTCAGAAGACTGGAAATCTTGAATTTATAAGATAAACAGAGGACCTAGTGAGCTGTATAACATGTAAACCTTTTGTATAGCAACAAACACAGCCTAAACGAAAACGTTTTAACCTGGGAAAAAGTAGACAATTCTTGTAACATACAGTAAGCGGTGACCAATCAGCAAGCAGAAATGACACAAGCCGAAGGGAAACTTAAGGAGCAGCAAAGGAAGGGTGGGTAGGCTGGGACCTCACAGGGGGACAGGGAGCTGGGCATCTGGGAGCCTGGCCAAGACCCTTCAGAGACTTTGGAGTTCCTGGCTGCCTGCCAGGCGAGCACAGAGTGAAGAGTGGATGAACCCATCAACAATCAGTGTTTCAAGTCTGTGGCTCTGTGGGTAAGGCCAAGTCTGGCCTTGGTTTCCTCATCTGTAAAATGGGTGATATTCCGGGGCACCTGGGCGGCCGATTGAGTGTCTGACTCTTGATTTCGGCTCAGGTCACGATCTCACAGTTGGTGAGATTGAGCCCCCTGTCGGGCTCTGTGCTGACAGTGTGGAGCCTGCTTGGATTCTCTCTCTCTCTCTCTCTCTCTCTCTCTCTCTCTCTCCCTCTCTCTCCCTCTTTCTCTCAAAATAAATAAACATGAAAAAATTTTTAATGGATGATTGTTATGAAGATTACAAAGGGTGACAGAAAGTACAGAGGGAGGGGGTAAGTGAACGGCCTACGGAGCCAGGCTGCCTGGGGCCAAATCCCAGCTCCTCTTTGAGCGGGGCCCCAGGGGGACAACGATGACATCCACCTCAGGATGCTGGCATAAGGGGTCAGTGAGTTAGTCCCCGTGACAGCACTAACGGTAGGGCCCTTGCCAAGTGTCCTGTGGGCATTTGCCATCACTGTTACTACGTCAGCCCTGAGCACGGTGCCTGGCACACAGTAAGAGCTCAATAAACACAAAGCAGCACAAGGCGACATCAACGACAGTCTGCTCTTCTCCCCGACCAGCTCGCCCTGCCCCCACCCCCGGGGCCCCCAGATGCTGTCTCCCCGTTTTGGCCAGGGTCATGCAGGGGTGAGGAGCCAAAGGCTAGAAACACTTGGAAGTAGGTTCAAAGTTTTGACTCTTGTCACTCTGTTGAGTGACCTTGGGCAAGTGAACTCACCTCTCTGAGCTTTGGTTTCCTCCTACCTTCAATGGGATGATAGAAAAGGACAATAGAAATTTACTATGGGGCGCCCGGGTGGCTCAGTGGGTTGAGAGTTCAGCTCAGGTCATGATCTCGTGATTCATGGGTTCGAGCCCCGCGTCGGACTCGGTGCTGAGAGCTCAGAGCCTGGAGCCTGCTTCGGATTCTGTGTCTCCCCCTCTCTCTCTGCCCCTCCTCCCCTTGTGTGCTCGCACCCTCTCTCTCTCTCTCTCTCTTTCGCTTTCTCTCACTCTCTCAAAAATAAATGTTAAAAAAATGTTTATTTATTTTTGAGAGAAAGAGACAGAGCATGAGTGAGAGAGGGGCAGAGAAAGGGAGACACAGAATGGGAAGCAGGCTCCAGGCTCTGAGCTGTCAGCACAGAGCGGACGTGGGGCTCGAACCCACGAACCGTGAGATCATGACCTGAGCCGAAGTCAGACATTTAACCGGCTGAGCCACCCAGGCACCCCTAAACATTTAAAAAAAGAAAATAACTATATAAAGAAATCTATAACTGACATAATTAAATCTTATTCATAAGCATTAGGAACAATCCACATAATTTTTATTTATACATATAATATAAATACTTAATCTGTAATACTGAACAAAAACATTATCAATATAAATATATAAAGCACAAAGTACAGTGCCCAGCACAGGGAACAAGCTCCAGAGACGGGAGCAGTTATGACTGTCTTATAATGATGATTTTGAGACCCTGGATCCTGGCCTGGCCCTGCCCCAAACCAGAACCTGGATCCTTCTCCCTCCTTTCCTCCTGTGAGCCCATGAAATCTAATCTCCAGCCGCTAACTTCCCAGCCGGCCTCCTTGACCTCGGGGACACAGAGCCCCCACCCTCCCAGCTCTGCATGGGTCCCTGGCCTCAGGGATGCAGACAGGAAAGCATAGTGCTATTGGAGAGGGCCACGAACATCAGACACTGTAGCGACACGGGACAGCAAGGATACCCTGATGGGGAGACGGACCCAGCGACAGGACCCCCGGCTGTGGACCACAGTATACAGCCAGCATCAGAGCGAACCCACGGAGACCCAGCGCGAGGGCACGGCATCCCCAGTCCGGGGACACATACACGGGCAGGGGAGGGGAGGGACGTGCTGTGACACAGTCGACCACTGACAGTCACTGAGACTCACTGGTGAGTTCTAGAGAACAGCACGCACTGAGCGCAGACACATGCTTGGACACAGTGGGGGAGAAACTCTGTCCCCGCCCCCGGACAGAAGCACACCCACCATCAAGAACAAGCCCCCAGCCCTCAACCACTCCCGCTCTACACCCCATGAAATCTCCAAAGCACAAAAGTCCATGCACATCTCTGATGTCCCAGAGTGAGCACCCACAGCCATCTTCACCCAGAAACAACTTCCTTACTGTTTATTAACACAAACTGGGCAAATAGTAGAAAAGTAAACATCTCCTTTTTTCCTTTTTAAAAAAAAAAAAAAAAAATGGAAGAATGCCCTGCCCTTGAGGAACCCATGAGCCCTTGAGAAAGTAGATCAATAACTTGAACACAATGTGAAGAGAGTTAAAACGGGGCATTGCAAAGGACTCTGGGAATACAGTGCAAAGAATAGCCAGTTTCCCCCTTAATGTCCACTGGTATATTTTGATTTGTATCATCAGGAAAAAATCTTTTCAGAGCTCACAACCTGAATGCCACATTTTTTCACAAGCCCCTAAAAAAGGAGATTGGTGTGCACGTGAAATTGCCACTAGTAGAAAAAGGAAGTATTTGTCTCAATCAAGGTGGTGCCTGAACACAGACAATATTGTAGGTGGCACACCCTTGAAATGAAAATGCTGTCTGTTGCGTAAGTACAGGAAAATATTCAGATCGGTACTCAAGTTCACACTGGATCAGGGGAACTCACTACGCTTCTGCAATGATATGTCACTGGTGGGATTATTTCTGTATAATCCTTAAGGGCTAATATGACCACCCCCCTCCCCCCCCCCAAGCAGCCATAATCCTATGGTTTGGAAATAGGGATTCTCAGAAGTGTGGTCCCCGCATCAATGGCATCAGCATCCCCCGGGGACTTGTTAGAAGTCAGTGCAAATTCTCAGCCTCACCCAAGTTGGATGAATCAGAAACTCTAGGGGTGGAGCCCCACAATCTGAGTGTTAAATGCCCTCCTGGTAATTTGATGCCTCCTGGAGTTTGAAAAACGCTGGGTAGGGTTTTGGTCTTCTAAGTCTCCGCAGGTCACTGACTTTATTACATCTAGAATTTTCTGTATTGACACCTCAAGTTTTTCAGCTTCTATAAGACGTATTTCACAGAATTTTCCTGATTAAAAAGAAAAAAACACGTTAGCCATAGAAAAAGGGACAGGTCCTGGGGGTCCCAGGGGGAGCCTCATAAGGCCATGCCTGGAACCTAATGCCTCACATGAACTTGAATCTTCTCCCACACAGACAAAAGGTCAGTCATCATCCAACTTCAGGACGTGGCTGAAGACCGTATTCTCAGATACACCGGCCCCAGGTGAGGCTCCTTGTTTCCAAGCCTCCCTTGGATCCCATGGCCCCCTTGCGGTCTAGGTCAAGGCTACTCAACCTTCACTGCGCCGCAAATCGCTTGGGGAGGGAGGGGGGAGGGTCTTAAGAAAGCGATCCAACAGGTCTGGGTGAAGGATCTAGGCTCTGCATTTCCCGCGAGCTCCCGGGTGCCGCCAGGCTGCTGGGGGCCACTGAAGAAGCGTCTCTCCCCAGCCGAGACAGGTGTAGCGAGAATGCAGCTCCAAATATGGAACCTGTCACCAGGAGGTCGTGGCAAGGATTTGGGAGGTGGGCAAGGCCAAGTGGACGCCCGGGCAGCGGTTAGATAGAAAGAGAAACTCCAACGAAATTTCAGGAGGAAGGCTGTGGAGGAAGCGAAGTCCGAGACTCCTCGGGGCTGGAACAGCTTTGGCTCAAGAGTCCCTGCAGCCGCGGGTGCGGGTGCGGGTGCGGGTGCGGGTGCGGGTGCGGG